CTTTCACTTCAAATTTTTTAGATGATAAATTTAGGAGATGATTCAGATTCTGCCTGATTTCTGCAGGCTCCAATTCTGATTGGTCAGCCAACAAGTGTCAATTAATAATAATCAAATCTATGATTCTGATATTAAACAATAAAACATATGCTATATTATGGCATAAATTTTGTTATTGGACATTTGAGGCCTGTTACCAACACATTATCACTTTAGCTGATTTACATGAATTGTCAAATTTCAAGCAGGTTGCTACTCATTTACAATTAGAACAGCTCAGGTTAGTATATAAACTAAGTCATTGGGTTGGTTAAAATGTTCTACAGATACTTCAATAGATAAAGAATTAAGATGTCTTCATAAATACATAATCAAAAAAGCCAGGGAACGTATCATAAGATTTGAATACATGATGAAATTATAAGAAACTATTATTCCAACTTGGAAGGAAAAGTCTTTGGTCTATGACATGCACATCCTTGGATTGTTCTTGGATGGACAGTGATTATTGGATACTGAACTCTGCTTATTTTATTTTTCATGCTTAACCTACTCTCTTTCTGATTGATATTGATATTGTGTTGGATGTGTGAATTCATGCAATCAAGATTCATTCAAAGCTTGTTCTTCCGAGAGAATCTTGTCTTTTTAAGATAAGTTGTCTATTCCTGTCCAAGTTGATTATATCTTGATTTTACTGTTTAATTCTCAAAAGATAATCTAATTTGAAACTCTTTATAACCTCCACTTACAATTTAGATTGGTTCTTTTTCTCTTAACTCTTGTAAGAATGTTTAACCCTAAAATTTATTAAGTATATTTTCTATATGTTTTTGTGTGTTGTTTCTGTATTATATTGGGTATGTATGCCTCTTCGTATTTTGGTGCAAGCTTATTGGAAACTATCACACATGTCTTCAAATTTTTAAGATAATAATTTCCCTCTGACTTTCATTTTTCTAACCTACATATGACAGAATTACATTATTTATCTAGGAGCCTTTCCATTTTAATCATTGATGTGATGAATGTTTTAACACTAGAGAGGTATTATATTGAATGATAAGCAACAGTTCATAGAACCATTTAGAACCACTGATGTATATGCCTAAAATAACTGCAAAAATAAATCATATATACTTTCTAAAAACTATGAAATAAATAACTTGAATTTCTCCAGATTTGCCTGATAGATCTAAGATTAAAAAAATACATATCTACCAAAAGTGTTGCTTTCATTCTCACTTCAAAGAATTATACAATTAGTTTTAAAAAATTTGTACCAATTTTTTGACATAATGAATAAGTTAAACAGGACAACAGCATGTTTCCTTTTTTAATTTAGCAATCTCAGAGTATCATTTGTGATTTCTGAACTTTATATTTGAAAGTGTTAGGAGAATATTTCTATGTACATTTCCTACTTTGTAATTATTCATTTCTGAAAAAATATAAAAATATATTAAAATATCTTAGTTATGTTATTCTATGTTGTTAATAGCTATAAAATAGCATCAATTATATGGTGCTTCAGTCTTGTATGGGTGCCATGTTCATTAAAAAGCATAATAGAGAATAATAGATTTTACAATTCAATTTGATCTTTACTGATAGCAGTTGAGTTCTTAATTATTGACTTCATCTCATAAAACTCAGGATCTCAGAAACAGTAATTCCAAAGGGCACCTGAACCTATATGTTTATAGCAGCACTATTTATAATAGCTAAGCAATGGAAGCAACCAAAATGCCCCAAAATAGATGACTGGATCAAGATGTGGTACATATACACCATGGAATATTACTCAGCAATCAAAAAAGATAAACACATGCAGTTTGCAGCAACATGGATAGAGCTAGAAGGGATCATGCTCAGTGAAATAAGTCAGAAAGAAAAAGAAAAATACTGGATGGTCTCACTCATAGCAGGAATTTAGAAAACCTAAATAAGAGACCAGGAAAAAGACTAATCATTACAAAGTAAAAATCAAAATCAACAAGCAACTATAAACCCCTATGTTTATAGCAGCACTATTTATAATAGCTAAGCAATGGAAGCAACCAAAATGCCCCAAAATAGATGACTGGATCAAGATGTGGTACATATACACCATGGAATATTACTCAGCAATCAAAAAAGATAAACACATGCAGTTTGCAGCAACATAGATAGAGCTAGAAGGGATCATGCTCAGTGAAATAAGTCAGAAAGAAAAAGAAAAATACTGGATGGTCTCACTCATAGCAGGAATTTAGAAAACCTAAATAAGAGAAAAGGAAAAAGACTAATCATTACAAAGTAAAAATCAAAATCAACAAGCAACTATAAACCAGAGACACACTATGGAGTTGGGGGGGGGGAGTGACAGGGAAAGGAAGGACTAGAGTCAAAACAAGGGGGGAGGTGCAACTGTATGGGGAATATAACCAAAACAAAAATGCATATGTTGTGCAAAGATGAAAAAAGATGTAAGAATTATATACATATATATATATAAAAATCAGGATCTACTTGTTATAAAGTTAGGTAAGTTATGGAATCTAAGGAAACTAACTTGGGGTGTATAAAAAGTAGAAATTTATTTATTATGGCATTATTCGTAATAGCCAAAAAACAGTAACAACCTACATGTTCAGCAACAGGTAAATTAATAAAGAAAATAGGTTATGTATACATGATGGAATATTACTCAGTCCTGAAAAATGAAATCCTGCAATTTATGACCATATGGATGGCAACATAGCTATTATGCTCAATGAAATAAGCCAGAGAGAGAATTATAAAACTGTATTCCAAACCTACATCTCCCTTTTATGTGATATTTTATATTGAAAGATTTTCCTTCTAAAAAAGACATAAACACAATTTAATCATGGGAAAACATCAGACATGCACCAAATGAATGATATTCTACAAAACAGTTTACCAGAACTTCTCAGATATCTCAAGGACATTGTCATGAAAAAACCAGAAAGCAGGCACAAATCCCTTTGCCCCTGCTTAATAAAAACATTACTTTTCTTCCTCTCAAATCAAGAGGGTAAGAGGGCCTGGTTACAGTACCTAAAACTCTTGCCTCCTATTTACGTACATTCTGGTCTTCAAAAGAAAAACGTGATTCTTCTTGATAATCTATTCTTATACTCTGCAAAATTTTTCTAAATAGGAATTTTTTGCTTAAAATTGAAGAATTATATGGTTTTTGTGTTTATTATTTATTTTAATTCTGTTCTCCTTGTATAACTTCTTTAAATGCCACAATTCCCTCTAATATAGTGGACAGTGTGAAGGAAAATTATTGAAAGAATAAAACATAACCACAATAGAGAAAAGTAAACAACAATAATCTCACCAAGTACAGAGCCTTCTCCAGTATAATTAAGGCTTTCTCACTACCTACAAAAAGTCCATTATTAATGAGATTTTCAATGTTTCCATATTTCCAAAATTGTCACCAAATAAATATAATAAATATACAATAGAACCCCAGTTCTAAAATTGAGTTATCCTACATTGTAAGCTTGTTTATCCTCTCCTCTATCTCTGTGCCTGTGATATTTTCACAGAGAAATCACATCTTTGATCTTTATCCATCTTTCTAAATTACCTGCAGATTTTAATTTTCACCTTAACCTCCTTTAACCATGCCAGTTCATAGTATACCCTAAATCTTCTTTAAAATTACCTGTGAATAGCTTTCTTTTATTCTGTAACTTGTCATGCCAAGTGGCATCTCTTATGAAATTATGTGATATTTAGAAAACAAATATATAATTTTCTTATTATAGTGTTTATATTAAAACAGGATTAAAGACAGAATTGAGTGATTTAAGATCACAAAAATGATAGGCAGAAAGTTTAAAACCAATTCCATAAAATATCCTAACTCCTCAGTTTGAAGCTCATTCTTACACAACATTCTATATTGTTCAACCTTCCAAGTTTGGGGCAACTTTTGTCTTCATAACTAGGTTGATATGTTAGTAAATGCCAAAATTGAACACCATTGCAGCCACCATCTCTCTTACCTCTACCCTGCCCCTTCCTTTCCCTTCCTATCTCCCCTTCTCATTCCCCCTTTTCTCTAGCCCTGACCCCCTCCCCTTTCCCCTCCCCCTTCAACACACTCAAGCTCTCACTCTCTTGCTCGCCTCACTCTGGAAGATCTAGAAAGAATTATGTTGTAACTTCCTCTTTCACAGCTTCATACAGACAATAAGGCAGGGCAATAAGTTATTATATCAATTGAATATTAATATCAGTAGACATTCATAGACACTACTATGATTCAAGAGGAACACAGTAGCCCCCAAAACATTTTTCTCAATCCTAGTTAGTCAATTTGATACATTCTTTGTGCTTGTTTTCTCTTTCATCTCCACAGAAGTTTTTGACTGCTAAATAAAGACCCCAAATACTTGACATTAAACTTAAGTTATATATTGCCAATTAAAAATACGTTTTGAACATGAGTATGTCAGAATTTAAAGATTACAACTATAGCTTTGAACTCTAGAAAGTATGACAGTTGTCATGTGTGGAAGCACCAGCCTTGTAGAAAGACCCGTGTTGTGATTTTTACCATTCTAAAAATTATTCTAGTGTCATGAATAGAATAAGATGAATTAATGATAGTTAATGGAATAGTGTATGGCCCACAAATCACAGGTATTCAGTTCTAATGAAAAAACAGGTAACTGAATTGTTATATTATCATTGATATACTTAATACAATGAAATTCCACTTTCCTCATAATATGGCAATGATGTAAGAATGACTTATGTCAGTAAAATTTCTTGCTCAGCATCTTTTCTGTCCTCTAACCTCATTAATATGATACTAATTTAGTTTGGGGTAGAAAAGTGTTTTCTCGTGGCCATTTCGATGCTAAGCATTGACACGTGACAAAGTTCTTGACAATGCAATGTAACAAACTAAATTGAGAAGATCTTGAAAGCTATTTTTAGGGACAACCTATGCTATAAAGGGGCAAACATACCTGGAATGAGCCAGCTGATCACCACCTTTCTTTTCTGCATCCTAGACTCTGAGGTATGGCAACAGCTTGCAAGTGGAAGGAAAACACTTGGTCTGTCCCTTTTTATACATGGAGCTCTCCTGAATGGCTTTCTTCAAGACTTCTGTGTTATGTGAAAAATTAATTTGTTCAAGTCATATGATTTGATTCTTTCAATTACAACACAATTACAAATATAGTTTATGGTAAGAGAAGTTTGGTATACAATATCCTCATTATCCACTAAGACTTGTCCTTACAAATATTGGTGGTCATAATATGTGTTATTAAATTCCCTACAGATGTTTCCACTGAGGAGCATCAAACTCTGCCAAAGTAAATGTGAAAATCACTATAACACTCTTATTTATATAACAATGAATCACAAATTCAAGTTTCATTTACAACTAATGCACTTGTTCCACTTTGGTGTAAGTTGTTAAGAGTGGGTGGCATGTGAACCCTCTTATTCCACTAGTTCCTACTAAATGTGGGGTATTCTCATTTTCTTTGTTAAAGTAAGACACCTAACAACTATGTTTTATAAACTAACCAAAAGATCCACTTTTTCCATTAAGCAAAAAATCATACTTGATTCTTAATATCTCAGAGCAACAATTTTAATAAAGAAGTATAGTTTTAAATGTTTTGAGTTGTTACGTAAAATTTTTATTCAATATATCCAAAGTATTATTATGATAATGGGCATATGGAAAATATAATATAAACAATAATTTTATAATGCAGGAAATATTAGAAAATACCCTAAAAGTTAGGTAACTATGCTAGTAAATAGTATTATACAAGATTTACTTTAACGTCTATAATTCTTTAGGGCCTCATATATGGTTTGCAAAGAGGCAAATTTACTATTTTTTTTAAAAGGCACTATACCTGTTTTTAATCAAGTTTTAAAAAACTATTTTGATGCTTAAAATGCATAATGAATGTATTATTAGGATATGTAAAATATGTATTTATATGTGTACATGATTGTAAGGTATTATAATTGTTATAATGCATATGGATATGAAGATTATAAATCTGAATGAAAGAATCCTCTGATATCAGCAAATATCAATCAGGCAAAAATTAACTATTAGGGGAAAACATAAAATTGGACTATGATTGAACATAATGAAAGTGGGAAATATTTGTATTGACTTTTTTATTGTATATTTTAATAATACACAAATGAGGGAACTTAAGTGTATCACATAAAGAAGCTACATGACATTTTTAATGTTATATACATATATATTTATGATCAGTTTTGAAGTTAAAAACAGTATAGGTAGTAGTGTTGGATATGTGTTTATCTCATTGAATTTTTATTCTGACTGATTAAGGAAACCATGATTTTTCATATTATATTCAAATTAAATGTGCAAGTCACATTTTGCTTATTCCCATAGAATAATATTGTCACTTTTGATGAAGTTAACATAGATTCTATGATGGCCAAATTTATAATTCATCCTTTTTCCCTATGCAACTAATTGCATTCATCAGAAATGAACAAATGAAGAGAACATAATTCTTACATCATTTTTTATTTTTGCACAATGTATGCATTTTCATTTTGGTAACATTCCCCATACAATTGCACCCCCCTTTATTTTGACCCTAATCCTTCCTCGCACCGCCCCCCCCCACCGTAGTGTATCTCTGGTTTATAGTTGCTTGTTGATTTTGACTTTTACTTTGTAATTAATTATTCTTTTTCCTGGTCTCTTATTTAGGTTTTCTAAATTCCTGCTATGAGTGAGACCATCCAGTATTTTTCTTTTTCTTTCTGACTTATTTCGCTGAGCATGATCCCTTCTAGCTCCATCCATATTGCTGCAAACTGCATGTGTTTATCTTTTTTGATTGCTGAGTAATATTCCATTGTGTATATGTACCACATCTTCTTGATCCAGTCATCTACTTTTGGGCATTTGGGTTGTTTCTATAGCTTAGCTATTGTAAATAGAACAATTATTGATGAAATTCACATGGAATCACCAAAAATCCCAAACAGCCAAAGCTCTCCTGAAAAAAAAAATAAGAAGGGAATGGAGGCATTACCCTCCCAGACTTCAAACTTTACTACAAAGCCATAATCATCAAAACTGCATGGTCCTGGAATAAGAACAGACACAGGGGCCAATGGAACCGAATAGATAACCCAGAAATAAACCCACAGATTTATGGTCAACTAATATTTGACAAAGGAGCAAAGAATATGCACTGGAGCAAAGAAAGTTTGTTCAATAAATGGTGCTGGGAAAACTGGGTCACCACATGCAAAAGGATGAAGCTTGACTACTACCTCATACCATGCACAAGAACCAACTCAAAATGGATTAAAGAACTAGACATAAAATCTGAAATCATAAAATACACAGAAGGAAAAATAGGCGAAACACTACATGACATGCACCTCAAAGACATCTTTATAGACACATCACCCATTACCCAAAGCAGTGATAGTGAAGGCAAAGATAAACAGCTGGGACTACATCAAATTAAAGAGCTTCTGCACAGCAAAAGAGACAATTATAAAAACAAAGAGAAACCCCACCGACTGGGAGAACATTTTTGCACCCAACACTAATGATAAAGGACTGATAACAAAAATCTACAAAGAGCTGATGAGACTCAACAAAAACAAAGAAAATAATCCAGTCAAAAAATGGGCAGAAGAGCTAAAAAGAAACTTCTCCAAAGAGGAAATGCAAATGGCCAACAGGCATATGAAAAAATGTTGAACATCCTTTGTAATCAGGGAAATGCAAATCAAAACTACCATGAGATACCATCTTACACCAGTGAGAATGGCACATATTAAAAAAACTAGCAACAACAAATGTTGGCGAGGTTGTGGAGAAAAAGGAACTCTCCTGCACTGCTGGTGGGCATGCAAGCTGGTCCAACCACTATGGAGAACTGTGTGGAGATTTCTTGACCTACTGAAGACAGACCTTCCATATGATCCAGCAATTTCACTCCTAGGTATTTACCCAAATGACACAGAAACATTAATTTCAAAGGGCACCTGCATCCTTGTTATTTTTGAATATAGAATATCATGGCCATTATGGTTAAGATGGTAGCTATGTATATTTGAGTATGGTAGTCTAAAATGGATCCAACTTACTCTTAGAATTTAATCTATTGTGATGATTAAATAAACTATGCTAATGGATCAAATAAAATTAATTGATAAAGCAAAATATAATTCTTAGAATAATCAGTAGTTCTGCCTCATTAAGTGGATCATAAAATCTGCTTTCTAAAAAACTTCTCAATGATGTCAAACATACATTAAGATTCTGATAATATTTTGCTACAATTGTGGTCAAAGTCATAAAGAGCTTTGGCCAGAATTATTATAATGACCTCTCCTCATTAATCTCCCTCCACCCTCCTTCATTACAAGATATTAAAGATAAAGTATCTGGGGTGATCCTTCAAATAGTGGTTAGAGTATTTCCATTTTCAAAAATTTGTGTAGAAATGAAATTGCTTATAATGATCAAAATCCCCACATTATGAACCCCACACCTCAAACTCATCCCTCTAAGCATTATTTTCTGTTTTTCTCCTGTCTCACACCTCTCCAACTATAGACATCTTGCTTTCTATGACCACATGTGTATGCTTTCACATTAGTGTATTCCAGTCTCTGCCTACACCATTTTTCTTTCCCCAGATCCATATGTCTAACTCCCTCATGCCCTCCAATCACCTTCTCATCAAGGGTATACACACCACTCTATTTAAAATAATACTTTCAATCATAACTCATGCCCTTCCTAACACAGTTTTACTTTGCTTCATATTTATCACCTTTTAATTTACGCAGAATTTATTTATTATTTTTATTTCAAGTATACTTGCTGGAATAAAACATACACAAGGACAGATCTTTTTCCTTACTTTGATCATTGATAAAAATCAAGGGTTAAAAAAGTGTGACATAGTAGGCAAATATACGTTAAATGAAGATTTTAGTACAAATAAAAGGTATTGATTCAACTCTCTTTAGAATAATTACCACACCACACACACCACCATAGCACTAATAATCATCCATCTTCCACTTTTTCTGCTTGCTTCAATTCTGCAGTCAGAGTTCTAGGTTTTGTTTTGGTTTAGTTTTTCTGGCTCCTTTGTTCCTTAACATATTTCTTGATTAAAAAAAAAAATCACTCAACTAAAAGGTCTAGAATGACTAGTGAATGAGTATAAATAATTAAACTGTCACTGAAAAACAAGACAGGTACTTACTTATTAAATATCTGCCTTCCTCTACATTATTTGCCTGATCTGCCTTCCTCTACATTATTTGCCTGCTGGTTAATATTCTAGGAAAATTATAATGAGACCTATAGAGCAGTCATTTGTCAATAGAGATCTTGGTTGACTATAATCAGAGAATTATTTAATTAAAAAGAAAAGCTATACAGCTATTTTCTTAAAAGATAAGATCAGTATACTATCATAGCTATATATTTTTAAGTAAATATGAAAATCCATGTTTATTAGATAATAAAATAATCTGAATTCCTCTAAGTATGCAATAGTTATATGTTTATATCTTAAGGTTGTTAGATTTTACTAATAATCATATAGGGACATGATATACTCAGTGGTATACAAAATGTGTGAGGTTTCAGAGTCAGTAAGTGGGTTTGTTATGTAAAGGAAAGTCAGTATTGGTTCAGATCTTAGATGGTCAGTAAACTTATTCAATTGAAATGTCTCCTAGCTTCTGCTGTTGGATGAATACAATTTTCTCTAGTAATAATGAGTCCTTTCAGAAAGGCAACCAACTGACCATGGGAGACCCCTTATTGTCAGGCAGAGCACTGGGATAGACTTCTGTGCCCAAGTCCATAGAAATGGATGGAAGAAACCTTAAGAGCTTAAAGTGCATAAGTCTAATAAAAGTAAATGAAATTAGATAAAAACTACATTCATTATTCTGTGTTTCATTTTGATATGAGATAAGTTAATAGTGACTGCTTTAAGTAGTTCAATTGTACATTTGGTTCAAGGTCATTATGTAGCAACTTAGATTTCATTTGGGGAAAGAAATACAGAAAATATTTCAACTCTTCTTTTTTAAATTAAAAG